TATTTCTTTTTAATTTCTAAACTTGATCATAACCCTAACATAAATAAGTTTTAAAAAATTTTTGTTATATTGCAAACATGACACATATTTAAGTAATACAAAATTCTTTAGAACTTATTATTATAAATACTAATATTTGTATTTAAGTTAGAATTAACAAGATATTAAGTCATTTGAAAAAATTTTTAACAATATAACAAAATAAATAGTTGCTTTAAATCATTATATTTATGTTATATTATATATGATTCTAAAAATTTATTTGTCTTTTAGAATACTTTATATACCTAATAGCATTTTGTCTAATATCTATATATTAGACAGATTAAGAGAAAATAAACCTAATATAATGAACTAGGCATTTTTTAAACAAAAGTAAAATAAGATTGTATATTTTAAAAGTGAAAAATAAAGGTTTACAAATGAGAAAATACAAAATTATCATAATAGATTGGTTAATTATATTTAAATGATTATAAGAAGATTAAGAAAAAATGCATAAAACAGCTTTTTTATAAGTGTTATATTGCATTTGGTATTAATATAACATAAAAGTATATTGTAATACATGGATTAATATAGAAAAAAGATATTAGATATTATTTTCCTATACTGGTGATTATAAATAATACAATAAAAAAATATTTAGTCGAATTATATTATCTAATACAATTTCAGACATATTTATTAAATTTTTTTTTATTTTATTTATAAATACTATTTTTTTTAAATAGCAAAATTATATTAGTTATTATTATTACCAATATGAAGATAATTGTGAATTTATTACAAATCACATGTTGAATTATTTTGATCATTTTTGATAAAGATCAGATTACATAAGTTGTGCTACATAAATATATATAAAAATGTAAGTTTTATTAATGCTTTTGCATCTTGTATAATATTAGAATTGCTTACAAATAAAAAAAAAAGAACTATATAATCTCTGCTCAATATGTTTAAATATTATTTTTTTTTAAAAAAAGATATACCACAAGAGCAATAAGTTGGGCCTACTATATTAACTTTTCTATAGTCTTATAAATTAGAAAAAAGTAGTTAGCAAACTATACACTTAAAGATTTAGAAAAGATTAATTATTTAATTTCATTAAATAAACTAATCTAAAGAAGAATATTAAATTTAATTATCTCCTAACATTGTTCTACTGTTATTGAAATGAAAACTCACTTCAAAATAAATGAAAATATTGAAATTTTAGTGTTTATTATTTACTAGATACTTCAAACTATGGTTTAGTTCAGAAATAAAAAAAAATAACTCTTTCTAAATAATAGTCATCAAAAAACATAACTTATTTTTACAAAAAAATATAAAAAATAGACTGTTATAGATTGGTTCAAGATAATTTAGTCAGATAAGTCAAGATTTTAAATTTTTAAGTCAGATAGTAAGCAGTACTATTGGAAGTATTATAGAAAACTATTAAATCAATTCTATATTAAGTTTATTATAAAATATGATAATAGATTAATTATAATTTGGGGTTGCTTTACCTCTCATAGTATCAACAACTATTATAAGATCAATGATATGATGAATACAGATCTGTACCTAAAAATACTTTATAAAAATTTGATGTGAATAATTAAGAATTATGAATTTGAAATCAATAAAGTTATTTTTCAACAAGATGAAGCATCTTGTCATATAGCAACCTTGACTAAACATTAGTTTACAAAAAAGAAGATAAAATTTTTTGACTAGTCTTTCTAATTAACTAATTTAAACCTGATCAAACACTTGTAAGATGAAGTTAATCATCACCTTAGAGACCTCCTTGACCAAATTTTAAGTAAAAAAGATCTTTGGAAAAAAATTCAGATAGTTTGGTAAGCAATCAATATTGAAACTTGTATAAGGTTAATTCATTTAATATTAGAACAAATCTGTGATGTAATTAGAGCCCAGAGTAGCTACACCAGATAATAATAGCTGAAAATTATTAGAAAAAAAAAAATTTTTTTTATTTTCAATCGTGTTGCTGTTAAAATAAGCAAAAATAATGCAATATATATATTGAAATAAAGCTCGTGCCCCTAAAAAATTTTGATTACTAAATTTTTAAATCTTTTTTATTAATGATAATATTGCTATTTGCAAATAAAATAAAAAAAAAATTTAACAAATATGCCAGAATTGCATAAGATAATGTGATCTGACTAAATTTTTTTTTTGTTGCATTATTTATGATCGCCAGTATATTACAAAAGCAAAAATTCTTTTTAATAATGAGTCAATCAAAGAAGTAGAGAAATTTATTACTCTTTAATGATCTTACGAATAGGTTATTTTTTTTAGTAGAAATAACAACCCAATAAATTACTAATTAAGGTTCTTAATTTATAGAACAGTTTTCAAACAAAAACCAAAAAAGTAAGTGATATAAAGTCCTTTGCATGAAGGCAGAAGATTAAAGAAAATAAGATACTGTTTAAAATATAGCAATAACATGTATTTTATTTTTATTTACATCAATAAAACTAGTCCTAGTGACTCGATTTCATATACATAATCACATTTACTTTTGTGAGTATATTTTGGAATTTTATCTTTCTTTGGAAATGCATTACATTGTACAAATATTTTTAATGTTCACATTTTTTGATCGAAAATTTTATTGGCAAAGTCACTTCAAAAATAACATATTCAGAATAATGGCACTTAGTGTCCAAAACCTTTATTATAAAAATAAAAAAAATATTGCCAAAACAATATATAAATAAAAAAAAAATTATTATTTTTTCATATCAGCATAATCATCATCATCACCTTCACCATTTTCTTGATCAGAGATGAATTCAAACTCCAGATTTATAGTATATTGTAATTGTACTGTTTTTTGAAATGAACCTTGATTATTCTTAATTTCTTCCAGATATGTTTCATTATTACTAATTTCAAAATATTATTCTATTTGTTTATTAATTTTACTATTATTATACAGAATAAAGAAAATAAAAAAATAAGAGATATAAAACAACTGAAACAATTAGAAAACTTTGTAATTTACAATATTTTTGGTTTGTTGGATTCTACTAATTCTAATGGTTCATAATATTTCTCTTCCTCATCATGATAAAATATTTTTATTTCATTCGACTGAGACCTGGATTATCTATTAACATAAACTAATTAACAAAATTAATAAAAGAATTTACTATATTTAACTGAAACATATCCATCTATTAGACATTTTTTGAAAATAATATATACGAGAAAATAAAATATGAAAAAAAATTCTGTTATTGTTTACTCACAAGTCAAAAAACTACTTATTTTATAATACCAAATTCACCAATTATATGTTGTTTAATAATTCATATCTGTAAATCTGCATTACTCAAAAGTTTTGAACATCACATATCAAATATATCAAGCAATAATGATATGAAAGCGAAGGAGGTAGTTACATTGTTGATGCAGATCTTACTTAGTTAAGGTTAGTATAGGTTAATTACTATTTGAGATAGTGATCTGCATTAATAACGTGGGTTTCGCCCTATCATATAATGATGAGTAATAAATTAAGAAAATAACTACTGACACAGCATACACGTGATCTAATTCCTTAATTTTGCCATATTCTAACACTAACCTTAATTATAGTATTGGTCATGCTATGTCATTATAGTTAGTACTAGTCATTTGCTATGTCGATAAGCATGTGTTTTGCTGTGTTGGTAGTTATTTCCTAAATTAATAGTGATGGCCATTCATCATGTGATGTTCAAGATAATTCAACTACCCCAAAAGCATTACCAAAAATTATCAGTAACACAAGATCTGACTACATTTTGATCAATAGAATTTTGCATACTTAATTACGATATTTGTGTCCAATTCTAGTTAATAATATTTTACTAACAATTTATCAAATATATGTATGTATATAAGTAGTATGTTTCATTTTTAAATTTTGTATTACATTTAGATCACTTTACTTATTACTGATATTTATAATGAAAGTGTTTGCTAAAACGTAAAAAAATTTTTTACCAAATTAAATAATGTCTAATAGCATGTGCAAGTGTGATCAATGTGGTAAAAGTTTAGAAAAAACAGCTTTTGTTAGTAAAACTAAAAAGTCTATAAAAATATGTTGTTAGTGTCAAATAAAGATTTAAAAAATTACTAAATCACAAAGTTTAATAAAAATATACCTTGTGATCAAAACTCCATCATCCAAAATCCTATTATTCAAAATCCTATCATTTAAAGTTCTAATGTTCAAAATCCTATCGAGCCAAAAGAAATGAAAAAACAATTATTTGAATACATTTTTCAAATTGGAAATGATAAATATATAGAAAATGAAAATTCAGATATAGAATTTTTGTATGAAATATCAACTACTTCATTAAAAAGTAACCTCATGAACTTGGAAAAGCAATTGCCAAAATAGTAAGATCGGCTAACAAATATTACTATATGTATATGACTACTAATTTGCCCTAATAGTAATATATATAACATATTTGGGTATTATCAAAAGAAAATTTGCAATTAGATTTATAAATTATACACAGTATAATATATAAATTAATTACAAATTTTTTCTTGATAATACTTATTTAGTATTATATATTTACTAATAAGATTGATATTATTTAATTTTAGTTATAACAAAGTCTATAGATCTCAAAAAAATCAGAATAAATAGAGTTATTATTACAACTGTTTGCAAAGTTGTACTTTAGCTAAGCATTCATGAAAACATGATGATTCTAACAAACAACATGATAGAGAATATATTGATCAGTTTACTTGTAATGGTATTTTAAAGATATTACTAGATATGGAAATAAACGTAGCAACAGTTGATCTTTAGTATAATTTACTTCATAAGCATCCAGATCGATTTAATGTAACTGATGATATTAAAGTTGAAATCTAGAAAAATATTCATTGTACACTTGCAGATATCTTTAGACAATTAGAACAACAAAATCCAAACCTAACACAAAAACAAGTCTATGCATAGTGGACTTATTTTCTAAAAAAGGAATATGAACGTGATTGTAATGATCAATTAAATTCAACAAAAATTCTTGTAGAAGAAAAAAAACTTAAGATGATTTTAATCAATGATCAAGGAATCAAATACTTGGGCTTTATAACATCATTCTTCAGATTATTAAAAAATAATAATAAAATTATTATAGATGCTATATATAAAACAAATATTTTAGGATATAAGTTATATGCAATCATTGGTCAATACAATGAAGCTGGTTTTGCATTTGCATATTTGTTTGTTGAAGGGGTTAAAAAAAATAATAGTGCATGTACAAGCATTTTAACCTTATTTTTTGAATCTTTATTTGAGTTAGGATTAAATAATATTTATTTTATTCTAACGAATAAAGATTTCTCAGAAATTTCCACTGCACAAAAAGTTTGGCCAAATGCCAAAATTTAAATTTGCTTTTGGCATATTAAGAGGGCACTTAAAAAACGTCTTATGGATAATACATATCTAAAAATAATTAATTATAGCTAATATTTTGCTCATGAGGTATTTGAATTTATTGATATTAACTTTCATCCAATGCTACCATCACAAATAACCTCAATACAAAAAAAAAATTTTTGTTTTTGTCTTAAAGAATTACAAGATTTAATCATAAATATGATAGAACAACATATGCATTTATATCTTTTAATCCCCAATACTAGCAGATGTTATTTAATAGCACATGAAATCTGAAAACAATCAACTAAGTAAATTTATGAATTTTGTGTTTATCATAATTTAAAATTGCTATGAATTTATTTGTAGGAACATTGGTATTATAAAGAACTTTGGGTATTGTGGACATGTTTTGCATATGACAAAATTTGCATATTTTTACAATATTATGTGAATCACATTGGAAAGTTATTAAGTAAAATTTTCTGCCTAAATTTTTTAGGCCACATCTTGATTTATTAACTTATATAATAATTACCTGTTTAATTCCATACCAAAAACAGCAATATAACAAATATTATAATAAGCATGAAAAACCATCCTGAAGAAAGAATTTTAAAAAAAAGTAAATGTTACTAAAAGAAAAAACGATTAATAATTATTATACTATTGACATTGAAAAATGGATCTGTGGATGTTTGGAATTTTTGACCAATCAGTTTTTTCTCTACAAACATCTGGTTCAAGCATCCCAATTTGTCATTAATAAGTCTTTTTTTAAAGATATTTAATGACAAGAAATTTATTCTTTTATATTTTTACTATTACAATTACAGGTTCAATCCTCAACTATACAAATCATACATTCAAGTACAGGTAAGAAAACAAGTTAAAATTTATAATTCAATTTATTTTGCAAAATTGATTTTATAATATGTAATGATATAATTAAATTCTGTAATATATTTATATAGTTGATGCCCTCAATGATATTACAAATTTAATTTCGAATGATGATGAAAATAATGAATTACTTCAACTATTCAAGCAATATAAATCAGTACTTCATGATGCACTTAAAATCATGCAAGAACAAGAAAATGCCAATAATATTCAATGGGCACAAGCTGTCCAAAGAAGTTTTAAGAGTGTACAAGATTTAGTAATAGATGTTAAATCATATAAAAGAAGAATAAATAATCCATATACTTGGAAAGACCACAACAAACACACGATGTTTTTAAACTAATAAATGTAAATATATTTAATAAATAATATTTCTTACTATTTTTACTATGAAAACTATTATGAGACTTAAGTATTAAAAGGTTTTTTTTTTTATGATGATAGCTATCAATCTTTTAATTCTAACTAGAATCAGAAATATGTGTTTTTTTGCATTCTTGCAAATATACTAATTGTACAATTTACAATAAAATAATCATTATTATTAAAGCACAATTCTCTTAAATAAGCTTCAATAGTTGAGAACAAAACCAAGAATTTTCAAATGATCGAATGATGATTTAATTTGATATTAAGAGACATAATAACTTTTAAGCAAAATTTCTTTAAAAAAGAAAATTACCTCTTTTTAA